TTTCAAGCTTGCCCCTCCATGAGATTCTGATATACTTCCTCTAAGACTAGTCTGATGGTGTCTCTTATACACTATTTGAAGACAAGTGATATGATCCATGAATTAATTTTTCAGCTATTCAATCTTTTCTGTGCTTGTTAGCATTTTCATTTAGTTGTTATTTTCTCTATAAATCACAAGACCTATGACTTACATCGTGAGTGCCTCGAGTAGATTTCACCATAAAATTAAAAAAAATCAGATAAGTAATATCTCATACCTGGAACTCATAACATGATTGTGGACAAAGAGATAATGGGATTTTCATAGGCTGTAAGAATTCAAATATTTCTGAAGAAAAAATATCTCCATTTATACCCTTTAGAGCTCCACTTACAAAACATATTTTCAAGTGAGCACAGCAGTTGTTGGGTGATTTTTAAACAAAGGTTATAAAGAAAATGCTTCAAGCCAGATAAGGTACTATATCTGGTCCTACACACCAGTTTTTAATGGGAAGTAACTGAAATCATATTAACTCATTTAACAAATACAGTAATTACATTAGTCATCAAAAAATGTATATCCACATGTATATGTCAAATATATACATACGCAGATGTATAATTTTATTTATGAAAATTGGCTGTAATCATTTTCAGTAAGTTCTTGGTATATAAAATTATTGTTGTTATTAGTGTAAGTACTGCTAAATTTGGATAACATTAGATGTTTACATAGATGATGTAAATTTTCTTCCTTTTATTCAAATATTAAAGCATTTCTTTTATGATTTTGTATTTCTTTATAAGTAGATTCCTCAGTATTATTTTGTGTCATAAGTTTTAGTGAAGTCTGTCTATATTTATATGCAGATGTATAAATATTGTATTAGTCAGATTTTACACAATAATGGTTTGTAAAGAACCACTCAAAAACATAGTGGCTTATAATACTAAGACATCATTTCTATATTCATGAATGTTTGTGTTAACAATGTTGGATGATCCAGACAGTGCTCAGCTGGGTGGTTCTTCTGCAGGCACATGAACTGGTCTCCACTGTGGATTGTTTCCTTTGGGGCCAAGACTGAAGGTTTGAACCCAAGCCACATCATTCTCAGGGTAAATTGTAGAAGGGAAAAAACCCCAAAACAAAGGGCACAACCAATTTAAGTCCAATTGTTTCTAACACAAAAATATCATTTTGATTCATTCCTAGGTCTTTGTAATTCCTTAAGCTTCTAAAAACCATGGCTCTATTTAATTTTTAACATATTTCATCATGCCATTTACAAATAATTATATTTTTCAATACTTACAATCTTGAAGTTATTTAATATTGTGTTAATTGAAAAATAAAGTTGAATGTGTTTTCAACATGTAGATTTCATCAAGTTTCTTGAATACAAATAAGAAAAAAAGGCCCAATTAACTGAAGTAGATGTCCCCTAAAACAGAGCATCTTAAACCTTACACTTATCTTCTGATATCTTGTTGAAATGAAGACCTTCAAAAGGAGGTGTAAGGTGGAACCTCCTGTTTTGCATTTGTAATAAGCTCCCAGAGATGTCAGTGTTGCTCTTGGTAGAGAAAAAGAACCGCAATATATTTTCATATAAAAGAGAAAGAAAACTCCATCCAAACTTAAGTTCAGATTTTTTTAATGAAAAATGGTTGTCATTCTTTGTAAAATTATTTCTATATATGTAAAGCTTTTCCTCAATTTTCTATTATTGCAATCATTTAACAAAGATTTCTTGTTATGCATCCAGACTTGATGATCATGGTTTAAAGCACATCCAAGTTATTGTAACTGGCAAAATTCTGAGAGATTTAAAAAGAATGACCATCCAGGCTGTTTGCTGTCAGTTCCCCATCATCACTCTCCCTTGTGGAAGCACATTTCTCAGGACACCTTTGCCCTCTGTGATTTCTGATAGAGTTGCTGAGTGAGGGGCCCTCCCTGACATTTGGAGTCAAGAGGAGGATTCAGTACTATCCATCAGTTCCTGCAGGCAGAGTGGGGGACTGGGGAATCACTGGTGAGCTGAGAGCAACAGATCCCCCACTTCTGGGCTTCCCCCACAGGTCTGGGGACCACATGGATAGACAGCCTCTGTCTCCAACAGCATATTTGCTCTTGTTTCTGGGGGAGGACCAGGGAATCCTGCATTTCCACTGTCTGCTTCCCCAGTTATTAATTCCTTAGGCCTTTGAAAGAATGTACCTTAGAAATTAATTCTCTATGTTAAGCAATTACTGCTTGGAATACCTAGAGTGGCTTCTCTTTCACTTTATGAACTCTGACTGATACCACAGCCCAGACAGCTCGTGTGTCATGGTCTCTGTTTTTTATGAAATGAGATTTGTTATGTGTGCCACTGAGGCTGAGGAGAGACAAAGAGAGTTAGAGTGCAGAGGGGCCTCCCTGGCCGCTGCTACCAAAACCTCCAGTCACCATCAAAGAGTGGGTGCATCTGAAAAATGCTCTCAGCTGATGGAGGCTCATGAGGAGCAGCTGGGGCTGCCAACTCTCAGCTGTCTGCTTCGTGGTTTATGTTCAGGCTTATAACACTGTGGGAGGGGAACTTGTCATACTGTTGACAGTAATAAGTTGCCACATCTTCAGGCTGCAGGCTGCTGATGGTGAGAGTGAAATCTGTCCCAGATCCTTGGCCACTGAACCTCGAAGGGACACCAGTTTGCAAATTGGTTGCCTTATAGATCAGGAGCTTAGGAGCTGCCCCGGGTTTCTGCTGATACCAGGCTAACCAACTGCTAATGCTCTGACTGGCCCGGCAAGTGATGGTGACTCTGTCTCCCACTGATGCAGACAGGGAGGTTTGAGACTGGGTCATCTGGATATCACATCTGGCTCCTGAGAATGGAAACAAGAAAACACACATCCATACTCTTAATGATGTTATCAGGTCTCTTAACTACCCTGCAGTCTAAGTGGTACTGACCACACTGGCAGAGTAAATCCCCCAAGTGCTCCTTCCTTACCTGGGAGCCACAGCAGCAGGAGGCTGAGGAGCTGAGTCGGGACCCTCATGTCCATGCTCAGTCCTGCCTGGGACTGATTCCTGCACAGGGTGTGACCACACTATTAATGTGTCCAGGGCTGTGGGTTGTATCACAGTCACATGCAAATAAGCAGGGTTGGGGCAGGCTGGGCACAGCTGCAGGGCTGATTGGTCTCAATAACACAGCACAGTCAGTGTCTACCAGGTGCCCAAGGCCAACCAGGGCAGCACAAATTTGCCTGCAAGAAATGTGATTCTCCTTCATAGTCACAAGAATCATTCTACCGTCCTATGAGTTAGTGTTCTTGCTCTGTTCATGTTTCAGGACATGCTTTTCCTGCTATTTCTCTATCTGTCTAAAACTGGGTTTTTGATTCTGACACAACCCTAGTACTTGCCAGAAATTTTGCCAACTCTTTACATTGGGAAATGTGCAACCTGTTGAGTACAGGGAAACTTCTTTTGGGTTGATTCTTAAAAGCTTTGGTATGGTAAATTAACACTATTGTCAGCCAGAGATGAAATAAGGTATAAGAATAAATAACTAAAAAATGGTAGTGTCATGATTTGTAAGGACGTGTCCAGTGACTGTCTGTCATTGCTAACCTGTCACCTCGAGCTTAGTGAGCTGTCCCTTTCCATTTCCAAGTGCTCTGACACACCACTTGCATCTAGGCCAGACATAGTCAGGGGTGTTTCTCTTCCACATGTGAAATGTGTCAGCCACCTTTCCTCTCTGCAGGCCTTTCCCACACCCATGCTTCATGTTCCCTGACTCCTTGGGTTACTACTTGAGCCTCGCTTCCTTCTTAACCCAAGCTATTCTCTTCAGATGCTGAAGCCTTCCCTAGGCTAAGTGCTTATGTATATCCCTGAAACTACTGTTCCCTAACCTGCATATTCCTCAAAAACCAAAGCTTTTCTAGTTTCTAAGACAGCATAGTTCTCAGTGGCTGGATGCAGGGCCTTGGGCCCAAACAGAGTGATGAGAAAATCACACAAGAAGGTGACGGTGGGAGCCTTGGACAAGGTATTAGATCCCACACTATATGGAAAAGGCATTCATGTGGAATGTAGGCGGAACCCAGCATGAAGCTGGAGTGGCATGAGGACTGGTATCCTCACATGGCCCTTGTGGCACTATTGGACCAGTGCTTGTGTTAAGGCAAGAGTAAGAATTGGATATTCACGTAAGCAGGGGCACTCAGTGTAGGTGTCAGAGCCCAGGCATTGTGGGAAGGGCACCCATGCAGGAGTGCAAATATGGCAGTGGCCTGACCAGGGTATCAGAGCCAGAACAGGGTGTGTGGGTAGATGTATGGAGGAAGTTCTGTGTAAGCGGATTATAGTTGGCTGTAACAACAGGAGAGTGGTTCCATTCATGAGGGAGATGATCATATAATTCGAAGTATTACGAATAATTAGAGACAAAATTCTCACAATTGGAGAAAGTAGTTACAGATACAGAAAAGGAAATTCCTAGAATAAAGTAGTTTGGGATTGAAATGAAAGCTATTTAGATGTGAAAGTGTGTATTGATATATAAATAGATAACGGATAGGTAGATAAATAAATAACTCTTCTTATCCTAGTAACCTCGACACTCACATCCCAGGAAGCACCCACAGTGCCCAAATCTTGTTTTCTAAATACTATTTCCTACTAAAAAAAGCAGTAGTTCTTGGAAAAGTGCCTTAAACCAGGTCTAGAATAGACAAAATACAAAATACAAAATAACTCTGAACAATTAAAGTCAGAAATTAAGAAGTGCTCAAGAATTATGAGATGAAAAGCAGCCATTTGGAATGAACTATCATTTGCCAAACCTGGGGAATTTTGAGAATCAAAAGAAATAATGATGGTAGCTCATTGAAAAAAATATGAACCCATGCTTTTATACTAACACTTTGATGAGAAATAGTATATTCATAAAGTACTAAAGACTTTTCCAAAAAAATCTATTAAATTCAAAGTACAAAAGAGCAGCTATGCAGCAGAGAAGCCTGGCGGACACCAACTTGATCCAGGAATTGAAGTGGCATCATCAGTAATGGGACAAATTGGAATATGGGACCACCTAATAGATGCAGTGAGAAGAGCAGACAATCATGTTCATATATTCTTGCAAAAGGTGAATAGCTAAACCTTATCATGAGGGAAAATCAAACAAATCCAAAGTGAGGGACATCCTACAAAACAATTGGTATTCATCTTCAAAAGTGAACAGATCATTAAGTTGAAGGAATGAAGGAATGTTCCTGAATGAAGGAGACTAAAGGGATGTGGACAAATGAAGGCAACGTGGGAGACTGGACAGGATCCTTTTGTTATAAAGATAGTGGTGGGACGTTTGTAAAAAGTTGAAATAAGCCTGAGGACTAGATGGCTTAATACATTAATGCTGATTTCCTTATTTCACGATTGTACTGGGTTCTATAAAAGAATGTCTTTTTTTGGAGGTAATGCACAGTAAAGTCTTAGAGGGTAAAACTTCATGTCATCAACTTACTCTCAAATGATTTCAGGGGCAGAGGGAAAAGTAACTATGTGCTGTACCTGTGACATTTCTGTAAGCGTGAAGTTGTTTTGAAATTTCATGAAAGTAGCAAAAGTAGTTCTTGAGAGCATGTCGAAGGTATTAAATAGCCTACAAATCAAACTGGATCCTGAATTCTTCTAGTTTCCCTCTGTATTTCAACATATCTCTCCAAACTAATGTTTCCAAATTTCTCCCACCCTCCTGACTTGGAATCACTAAGATCTGAAACTACCTTTTCTGAAGCTCTACAAGAAAACCTGGATGATTTCAATATAAACTTATAAAGTTCAAAGAAATCACCACAGCAGATGTTATATGGGCAACATTTGAGCCTGGTGTGTGTTCCATGAAGCAAGTTTATCAGAACACTCATTGCCATCAGGAAAGATTTAAAATGCAAAAGGTATTTGGAGCCCAACATCAAAAAACCTTGATGGACTGCCCTCCAGACTGAGAATGAGACTTTGCTCCAACCATTAATTTGTTTTCCTTTTTATTTTCATAGAAGTTCCCATAATTAGATGCCTAGCTACTTGAAGCATCCAGAAAAAATCCTCTACAACCAAGTTCCAACAAATAGTTCAGCTGGTTCTTAATGAACAAAAGAAAAACCAGATCAGAAGTGGACTTTCACATTATTGAAAGGAAAGAGGGATGTCTTTTCTTTCATTGAACAAGAGGAGTAACTGACAAAGACTCTCTGCTGGACTAGGCCTGAGCTTAGGCTTGCTTTTTTGTCCATGGGGAATCCAGTTTAAGTACGAAGCATGCCAAGTCCAATCAGTGAAATCTCCCATCCTTGGTATCTGACCACTCTAGATATCCTATCACCCTGTCCTGACTTCAGCAAGAATTTTGTTAGTTGGTCTAACAAAAATCATCTTTAGCTTTGATTTTTTTTAACTTTTATTGGGTAACAGTGCATTGTTTCCAGGACCCATGAACTCCAAGTCATTGTTGTTCAATCTAGTTGTGAAGGGTGAAGCTCACTGGCCCATGTGAAAATTGAATCGGCAACCTTGTTGTTCAGAGAGCGTGCTCTAACCATCTGAGCCAACCAGCTGACCTTGATGTTCTCTCTTAGTAATTTTCCATCAACTGAGTCCAACCAGCCCCTTGAATATTAATCACCACTTGTCCCTTTTGGCATCAGAGTTCAATCAAATTTCCCTTTTTCACTGCAAGATCCTATTGCAGTGATCTCTACACTGATCATGATGCCCCTATCTTTTTGAATAAATGTTGACTTACCATTCTTTAAAAAAAAATCCCAGAGTGGAAAGCTTAAGGGAAAGCTTGATGTAGATTATAATTTTTATCACTAAAATCCAGTTTCTTTCTTCCTCTCCACTCTGCCTGTCATGTGCTAGTTCCATATTAAGGGAAAGTTTAGATGCTAATAGACACTGGAATTATATGCTCCTGTCTATTCCTCACATCACATAAGGCATTGGAAATTCTCTCTTGTGGTCAAGCTGAGGTAATGACCCTCTATTGACAGATCACTGCAGATCATTGAGTCAAGGAGATGGCCTCACTGAACAGCTAATCTGCTATTTTGCCTTTCATCCCTGGATTTGGGTTGGAATCATGGTTCTCAAAACCAAATCATCTATCAAATAGTAATTTTGCCATTTGAAATGAAATGGAAAAATAGGTGCTTTGAAAGAGAGATCATAAACGTCTACTCTTCCTTCTGAAACCAAAGTTCTGAGTTAAGCATTAGAGAAGGAAAAGATAAGTGAGAGCTTCAAGGAGGAGCCACTGTAAATATGAGAGATATAAAATATAAAGGCAACTTCACTATTTAGCCCAGAGAAAGTTTATTTAAAAAAATCAGAGAAGGATAAAACAGAAAAAGTTATCTTCATTAAAAATAATTACTACACATACTACAAGGTACTCTGTTAAAACTAGGTCCAGTTAGTTTTTATATATAGTGTCAGAGCTTTGACTCTTGTTACTGACCTATGTGTTGGGTGGTTCCATGCTGCAGGGACATGATGAATTGAAAGAACAGTGCCCAAGATCAAAAGATATTTTGGATACATGACAATTAATGAGACTACAATAATGACAATTAATTTTCCAAGAAACACAGTGTTAAACTGCATCAACTCATTCATCTGACTGTTCATGCTGAGGGTTGAGGATACACTGAATGGATCTGGACACGGGCCCTCAGGAATGGCATTGCTCCAGGGGAAGTATCTCAGAGGGAGCAGGGTGGGAGTGGCAGTAGACATGTTATTGTTTATTATCTGTCCCTCCTATTAAAACTAAAACTCTATGAGGTCAGAGTTTCTGTTGGACTTGTTTAAAATGCTCCATGCCTAGCAGAGCTCAAGATACTATGATTTCAGTAATTGTATAAATATACATTTTTTCATTTTGAGTAGGAACAATGAAGATCTGCTCTAGCCAAGCTTGGGCGCTTAAGCTATTTTACCTATTACCCCCAGGAGGAGCTGTGACATCTTAGGTCTGTAAGTGAAGGGGGAAATAAGAGAACTTGAGACATTATTTGATGACCTAAAA